GCCTTTGGTCTTCAAAATGTCTGCTTCAGATTTCATTATTTTAAATGCATGTATCATGCTACCTAACTATACTTGGAGGCTCAAAAATGAAGTACTGGTTTGTCTACCAGACCCTGTCTGCCATCAATCCATTGTTTAAAGAATCAAAATTGCCTTACATTCAGCCATATAGTGAATAAGCCAAAGCTTTATTCATACCATGTCATACACTGAATTTTATATTCAAATATTTCCCATAGATGTGGTAATTATTATATATAGAAATTATTCCTGGTGATTTTTATTATACAGGTCTATAACATTGTTTAATTTAAAAGTATAATCTTACCAATAATATAAATGATATGTTTTGGGTAAGAAATCAATTCAATTCTCTGATCTTTGTTCTTTCATTCAAAAAAATATTTTAAGTTCCATCAAAAACCAAATTGAAGCTGTAATTTTGCTCATTGAATTCTATTTTGCTCAGTGTAAAACCCTGAAATGTTTTCCTGTAAAAAAAAAATAGCAGTTTCTAAGTTTATCTTTCCACTCAATAAAAATAACCAATAACTCATTAAAGTAGCATTTTTACAAGTTTAACTGTATATTTAAATCACAAATTAGAGCCAAAGATTGTCATTGTAGTCAAAAACAAGACCAACTATGATGGCATCAGCGTGTTTCATTTTAAGTATAAAGACTAATAGGTTAAAAGTAAAAGGATGAATAAAGATACATTCTATTAATACTAACCAAAAGAAAGCTGGCTTGCTATATTATCAGTCAAAATAGGTTTTGCAGCAAAGAATATAACCAGAGATGATAAAGGTTATTTTACAATACTACACTTTTACACATCTAATAACATTTTCAAAATACATGATGCAAACAACTGATAGAACTGCAAGGAGACACAATCTGGACTTAAACTTAGATATTTTAATACACCCTTCTCAATAATTAAGATAGAAAATCAGAAAGGATTTAAAAGACTTGAACAAACTGTTTACCTAATTGATATATATAGAATATTATACAATACCATTAGCATATACATTATTTTCAAATGCACACAGAACATTTATAAAGGTAGGTCATATACTAAGCCACAGAATGAGTTTCAATGAATCTAATAAGATTTAAACCTCACAAAGTAAGTTCTGTCCATAATAGAAATGAAATTTGAAATCAATAACAAAACCAGGCATGATGGTGCATGCCTGTAATCGCAGTAACTTGGAAGACTGAGACAGGAGGATTTTGAGTTCAAAGCCAGCCTTAGCAAAAGCAAGGCGCTAAGCAACTTAGTGAGGTCCCATCTCTAAATAAAATACAAAATAGGGCTGGGATATGGCTCAGTGGTTGAGTGCCCCTGAGTTCAATCTCTGATACCCCCGCCAAAAAAATAAAATAAAGGAAATCAATAACAAAAATCTATGAAAATTCAAGAATTTGGAAATTAAATATACCCATGAATCAAACAAGACACCAAAATAGAAAATTACTGAATGAATAACACAACACATTAAAATTCAAGAGATGCAATAAATAATTAAAGTCAGTGTGATTACCGAACATCAATGAATGTTTACAGTCATGTGTTCACACGTTAGTGAAGTAGTTCTCTAGAAATTAGTAGGCAAAGTAACCTTAATATTGAGTACATGGAGCCAGAAATTATGTTTTAAGTATTACATAGTTAAAAATGACTAGACCCCCAGGAAGCCAGCCCAACTTATGTTTATCTTGAATTCCAGATATTACATCTTATTCTCAAAACCCACTGAAATAAACTCCTGTTTTATCCTGTGGTTAACTAGCAATTTAATGTACAGGATTTAAATGAATACATATGTGTGTGTGTGTGTGTGTGTGTATATATATATATATATATATATATATATATATATATATATATATAGATCAAGGTTTGGGTTTAGGATAAATTTTGACTAAAAAATCTGGCAATATTTAGCCCTTGAAGTTGGTACAACAAACTTTAGCAAGAAATGTCTTAGTTATCTTCTGAGGTTTTAATTCCAGAATAATTCTTGGTTATATGCTTTGCTGCTGAACTACAGTGTTTTACATCTATTCATCCAAAGATTTGAGAACAGTGTTATATTCAGGCTATTAACATGCTAATAACTTTAAATGTTTTGTTTCCTCCAATCAAAACAATGACTAATGATACTTAATTTTATTCTGGATAGCTTATAGCTTAGTGTCTACATGAATTTGTTCTCAGATTCTTAAGTCTCCAAACTTACACTAAATAATTTGAAAGAAAAGATTAGTATAAAAGATGGCACATTGAGAAGAAATATTATTCAAATTACTTGTTTGCATTAAACACTTTTTCCAAGGAACATAGTACCTTAAACAAAATAAAATCACCTGTTTATTTTAATGCATTGCATTTTAAACTATATCATTGCTATTTGCGTGTGAATTAAAGATAATCATTAATAGGGTATAAGTCAGACTTGCTGAAAAAATATCTTCCAATATTTTTTAAAGGTATTCAAATAATGCTTTTACATAGGAGGTTCTTACTATGTATACATTTAGCATTCTGATAAACATATTAGATTAGGAACAAGTATTCAAATAATGCTTTTACATAGGAGGTTCTTACTATGTATACATTTAGCATTCTGATAAACATATTAGGTTAGGAACAGTTTTCTATGTCATTAAATATTCTCTAAATACCAGTTTTTATTGGCTGTGGAATTTTTTGTTGTATTAATATACCATCATTTAATCCACTTAGTTTCTATTGCATTTATTCTTCTGATATCTTGATATTAAAATACTTGTAAATAAACATGTCATGTACAATAATTTCTTATTTAAATTACATTCTAAGAAAAGGATCACTGAATAAAAGGAGAAAAGAGAAATCATTTACTATATAAATTTTCCAGCTAATATGCCTACACTTTGTTGCAAGCCCAGTTTGTGCATGCATATTTCTTATTAAAAAACAATGCTGCTACTTTATTTTCAATCTTATAAGTATGAATTTAGAGGTTTTGTTGTTGTTTGGTATTGGGGATCGAACCCAGGGCGCTTTACCACTGAATGCTGTTATTTTGCCATAGGGTCTCCCTCCATTGCAGGGCCACCAAAGTGATCTGGAACTTGCATTATTCCCATCTCAGCTTCCTGAGTTCACAGCATTATAAGAACACATGCAGCGCCTGGCTATAAGTGTAGTTTTAAATATAAAATATTTCTTCACCATCAAGTTTGCTATTCAAAGCTATGACATACACTAAAAGAATCTTTGTTAAATCTATCTTATCAAATAATACCTTTTTGTTAATCTACCTTTAAGCTTAATGGACTAACCAGTTATTTTTACAGATTAATATTTTTACGAAAGAAAGACACTTGCCCTCTTTGATTAATGTTATTAATCCAAACTTCAATGAAGTGAAAATCTGATTATCATCCACACTCTTATTTTTAATTAGTTTGAAAATATGTACATACATTTCTGGCAACAACTCTTTTAAGGTTATTTGGATTCAAAATAAATTTTAAGGCATTAATTTAATGAAGGGATAATTGGAAATATTTTGGTTTTAAAATAATATAATAGGGTTACGTAAGCATAATTTGTTGGCTATGTTTAACTAATGAAAATTATGTGACAGGGAATAAAAATGTATATAATTTAAAATTTTATAATTAAAAATATTTTGTGAAATGTAAAGGATAACATCTGAGAGAAAGAATGACACTTTGTTAAGGAGATCTCAATTTAAGATCTTTTCTACATGAAGAAATCAATAATGTTATCCATTGGCAAGAAGGACATAGGAACATGTTTGCTACAGGATTTGAGTATTTGTCAAGTGCTTTAAGATATTAATGCAAACACAACAGTATTACAGATTTTAATTTCTTCTGTTTTGATCCTAGCTGAGAGATGTAAATTCTTAGGTTGAGAATAAGCTACAGACACATCCTTTCTAAAACAGGAATAAAGAGTTTTTTCTAGATGGCTTATAAATCATGCAAAATGAATTATTTGGTAAATGAGATATTTTGAATTTTTTTAATAGCTGAAATTATTATAGTACTATCTCTGTAGACCAGCCAAAATAATAGACTGATTCAGAAGGCAGTATGCTTTCTATTAAGGCACCTTAGGACCTGCAGGAAATAATGTCAAGACACAAATCACTTAATCACTAATTTATTTCCTGGCTCCAACACCTACTAACAAACCTTGGACAAGACCTTTAACCTCACTATGCCTCTTAATTCTTCCTTTGTAAAGAGGGTTTACTAACTTACAGGTTTGTGGTAAGCATAAAATTGGTTAATACATGAAAAGCATGTAAATATTGTAGAATACTATAATGTTTTTGTCGTTTGTTCCAAGTCATAATTTAAAAAATATTTGTCAAACATACTTTATGCTGATGTGTACCATTGCAGATACAGTGTAGAATGTTTTATAAAATGGCAGGTAAGTAGAAGAGACTACTTTAAAATACCTGTTGAAAAAGAATTACATTACCCTCCACTTTAATGCTTGATTCAAAAGGTTACAAATTTATTATCAAATCTAGATCTGGAACTGCAACCCTAATTCAGTTTGTAATGTCAAGACATGAAGATCCTGAGGACTCTTACTAGACCTGAATGCTCAGTATCTCCTAAGCCTACTCAGAAATGAGTCATCAGTATAAGTCATGGTCCAAACTGAAATACATATAATTTCACATATAAATATAAAACTGCTACATATAAAATTAATTTTCACATTTAGAAACATTTTGAGATTTTTACTAGCAAAAGGCTTTACAAGGACAGATATTATATCAAATTACTATGTTAGGCTTACAATATTAAAATCCTAGTTTTTTTCTGCACACTATTTCAGAGCATTTGGAAACTACATGGCTGTCTCATTGAAAATGATTTATGCATAATTCTTTAACTGATTTTTAAGAGCATATGTGTATATTTATATATTTATTTCCACCCTTCTCCTCTAGAACTGGGTGGATAAAGCTGAAAAACAGATTCTTCTTTCTGAAACACTCGATCTATCAGAACTCTTCCATCCAGACACGTTTCTTAATGCTCTTCGCCAAGAAACTGCAAGGTAATTAAAACTAAAATGCTTTACCTATTTGTTTCTGAGGGTAATTAGATTTTGCTTTAGTCACTTCTAATCACATTGCCTTGATTATTGAGAAATGAATTTATTGTTGAAACCCAGATATTTGTTATTCCCTAATACTTTATTTTTTAAAAAACAGTTAACTTGTTAAGTTTTAAAAAACTAATGCTTTTAATTATGTATTTATTAGAATTGAAAAGATGAAATTTAAAAATTTAGTCATTTATCTAGACTTGTTTTGTCCAATATGAAGCTATTTAAATTTTACATTTCACATGTCACATGGAAATTTTAAAAAGTTAAAGATAAGACTAAAAATTCATTTTCTCTCACATTAGCTATGTTCAAAGTGCTTGATAACTAACTTGCTACCATTTTGGACTGCATGAAAACATTTTATCTTTATAGAAAATTCTACTGAACAGCACTGACTAGGCTTAATGGTGGAAAAAAGGACATTATAGTGAAGATCAAGTTCATTTCTATACCAGATGAAATAGTACCAAAAATAGACAGTACCAAAAATATATTTAATAAATTTATTTGCTTAATTACTCAGATTTCAGTTTATACCATCTCAAGATCTATAAATATCAATATTTTAATTTTGCTAATAAATGTTTATTGAACACGTATTTTAGGCCATAGTTCAAATGGAGGGTGTAAAATGAAATGCCATGTACTTAAGGAATTCATAACCCTAAAGAAAGACCGATATATAAACAGTTAAATTTTAAAACATGGTGTAAAATCTAAGATATTGTGCATAATAGATCTTAATTTGAATGTTATAAATATATCAGTTTAAAATAATAAGACTATCTTACTTATTAATTCCTGAGGATTTGGGAACAGGAGTTGGTTCTAGTGATTGAACCTAAGGGTTCACACATGCTAAATACAGGAGTTGGTTCTAGTGATTGAACCTAGGGAATCATGCATGCTAAACACTGTACTACACCCCAATTCCCCTAATAATTGTGACTTCGTGTGTGTGTGTGTGTGTGCGGTTCTGGGGATTGGACCCAGGGCCTTGTGCATGAGAGTCAAGCACTCTACCAACTAAGCTATATCCTCAGCCCTAATTGTGACTTTTGATGCTTTACTTTTATAGGGCAATGGGTCATTCTGTGGATAGCCTTAAATTTGTAGCTTCATGGAAAGGTCGACTTCAAGAAGCAAAGCTGCAAATTAAGGTATTAATTTTAGCTCTTTTGTTTGAGATGAGATTATGAAATTTCTATCTCAAAGCCATCTATTTTTATAGTTGTAATATCAGTAAAGTTAGATTGTGTTACCTATGTAAAATAATCAAAATTACAATTTAACAAAAAATAGCTTATAATACAAAATACAAAAAAAATCTACTTGTATGTGATTGAAAATATACATCTAAATCATAACCACATAATTTGAGAAAAGGAAAATTGCATTAAAGAACTGACTTGTGAAAAGGTTAATTGTGTTCATATCTAGAGTCTACTTTAAAAATTCCTAACTTTACTCTGTAGCGGCCCCACCATGGGAAGGTTTCCATCTGGTCTTTGCAAACAATACTCCAGCTGACAGTACTTCCCATCTCATCCTACCTCATACTTGGGAGAAGAGAAACTGAGAATTGAATTATTTGAACTAGCTTTAAAATCTTGGGTCACTATAACTGGCAGCTTGTTGAGCAACACACAAAGAGGAACCCTCAGCTCTTGCTCTTGTGTTCAGTACATAGCTCAAGAAGAAATGGAAAAAAAGACAATTGGACATAGGCAGTGACCATATATTCTCATTGACTATTTTGACCAACTTAGTAGAAACAATTCTGTAATTTTGTGTGTGTATATTTTTATATATTTATATATATTTCTTTTTTTCTTTGTTTGTGTATATATTTTTTCTTTTTGTCTCATTAAAAAAAATTAATTATAGTTATTTTTTTCCTTGCCTTGTCTTTTAAGGGTTAGGGCTTCTTATTAGTATATTACGATTTTGTTTTATATTGTTTTTCATTTGTTGGTTTCTCTTTTCTTCTGCTAAATCCAAATTCTGTTCTATCTTCCACTCTCTCTTTGTTATTTCTATTTTTTCTCCTCTTCCCTTGTAACCTTTACTTCCTACATCTCTTCTTCAGTCTGTTCACTTTTTGAAATTGTAGACTCTTTTCTACCTTTCTATCACATTTTCTTTTCTATTAACTGTATTCTTACCATCATTTAGCACTAATTGGTTTATATAATGCCTGCCCCCACCGTTAATGCTGTTGCAATTATTACTGCTATGCATTCCATAGTTTACACCTGTTGTGTGATTTAATGCCAGATATAAATACATGTTTACTTATTGTTTTTGCTCTTGGCAATTGCTAACCCTACCATTTCTATTTTCTGTGGCAATTAACATTGTAGATGTTATAATAGTAATCAAGTATCTAGCTTAATACTGTATTTTGTTTGCATTGGTTTTTGCTCATTTGTTTTCCCCTATTTTGTGAGGTGCTGGGAACCCTACAAGGGCACTACAAATCCACAGGGTAGAAACTCTGGTGCTGAACTGAACTCAACCAAAAGATGGCATGCCTTGCCCCACACACAAATTAATGACAGTCAGTCTTCAGCTATACTTTAATACAAAGGAAGGTCAAAAACCCTAACTAATGATCAGGCCCCAGGTAGAAACAGCTAGGGATGGGTCCCCAGGTGCAACCTATGGACTTCAATTGCTATAGAAGAAAAACAGAAAAATAATACAAAAGCTATCAACACTATACCTATGAGGGGGGATCTCAATCCAGATCTCTCTAGGACACTTTGGCAAGTGAAGACTGGGCCCCAAAAAGATCCACACATAAAGAGTGGAAGAGAAATCCCAACAGATGCATAAAAGCCAACACATGAATACAAGAAATATGAAAAAGCAAGCTAACACACCACCTCCTAAAGGCAATAATTCACCAGCAATATGACCTTCAAAATATTGATGAAATATCAGATAAGGATTTCAGAAGAATCATTATAAAAATGATCAATGAATTCCCAAAGAACATGGGAAAACAATTGAATGAATTAAGGAAGTCACCACAGACTATGAATGAGAAATTCAGTAATGAGATAGAAATTTTGAAATGTTGGAAATTAAAGACACCATAAATCAAATACAATGTTCAGTTGAACATCTCTTTAATAGAACAGATCATGAAGACAGAATATTAGAGCCAGAAGACAAAGTGGCCAGCTTTGAACATTTAGAGAGTATTAAAGAAAATAAATAACAATGATCAGAATATACAAGAACTCTAGGACAATGTGAAGAGACAAATTTATGAAGCATTGGAATTGAGGAGGACTGTGAGATGTGGGCTAATGGAACGGATAAACTCTTAAGCCTTCAGAATGAGATGGACATCCAGATATAAGAAGCATGCAGAACCCAAAAAGACAAGATCCAAACAGAACCTCTCCATGACACATTATAATTTAAAATGCCCAACATACAAAACAAGGATGAAATTTTTAAAGCCTTAAGAGAAAAACATCAGATTACATTTAGAGGTGAGCCAATCATAATCACTTCTGATTTCTCAGCACAAACTCTGCAAGCCAGGAGTGTTTGGAACAATGTGTTCCAAGTCCTGAAAGAAAATAACTGTAAACCAAAACTGCAATATCTAACCAAAACTTCTCTCATACCTGGCAAAGCAGATTTCACATCAAAAGTGATGAGACAAAACAAAGGTAACAATCTAAGAAGATAAAGCAATAAATACTTATGCCCCAAACATGGGTATAACTAATAACATTCAAAATTGAAGATGAAATTAAAAAACCAAGACAAGCAGAAACTAAAAGAATTCATAAGTACTAAACTGGCACTAGAGAAGTTTCTTAAAGAAATACTGCACATAAAAAATAAATAAATAAACCTCAGAGTTCACAAAAGGACAAATCTCATTTGAAGAGTAGTTAAAGCTGAATGAGAAATAGGATCAAATTAAACACAATAAATAAATCAAAATGGCAGGAATTAATATACATCTCTATAATAAAACAGTGTAAATGGTTTCAACTCTCTAATTAAAAGAAGTAGGCTGGCAGAATTAATAAAAAGAAAAAAAATAAGACCCAACTAACTATGTTGTTTGTAAGAGATGTACCTTACAGGAAAAGACAACCACAGGCTGAAAGTGAAAGGATAGAAGTTGATAAACCATGGGAATAGAGCCTGAAAACAAGCAGGAGGAGCTGCTCTCATATCTGGTACAGCAGATTTCACACCAAAATGATCAGACAAAGAAAAGGGAACAATCCAACAAGAAGATAAACCAATATATACTTATGCCCCAAACGTGGGTGCCGCTAATTACATAAAAGAGACACTACTCAAGTTGAAGCCTTAGATAAACTCCAGTACAATAATACTGGATGATTTCATCACACCATCACGTCACATCATTAGATACGTCATCTATACATAAACTCATTAAAGACTCTTTGGACTTGAAAAATATTATAAATCAAGTGGACCTAATGGATATCTATAGAACATTTCATCTCTCAACAACTGAATATGCTTTCTTCTCAGCAGCTCATGGAACTTTCTCCTAAATAGGCCAAATTGTAGGCCACAAAGAAACTCTTAGCAAATACAAAAACATATGTGTATGTGTATAAAATTCCTTGCATCTTATCAAATCATAATGACATGAAATTATAAATCAACATGACAAAATCCTATAGACACTATAGGAAAACATGGAGATTGAACAGTATTCTTTTGAATGATAAATGAGTAATAGAAGAAATCAGGGTGCAATTTAAAAGTTCTTAGACTCAAATAAGAATAGTGATACAACATTCCAGAACCTGTGGAACATAATGAAGGCAGTTCTAAGAGAAATTTATAGCTATGAAGTGCCTACATAAGAAAGATCTCAGGGTTGGGATTGTGGCTCAGTGGTAGAGCGCTCGCCTAGCACAAGTGGGATCTAGGTTTGATCCTCATCACCACATTAAAAAATAATAATAATAATTTGTTATTATGTGGTGTCCATCTACACCAAAAAATAAGTATTAAAAAAAACAGAAAGATCTCAAACAACCAAATGTTGCATCTCAAGGCCCTTGAAAAACAACAAACCAATTCCAAAACTGTAAAAGGAAGGAAATAATTAGAGCTGAAAGCAATCAACTTGAGAATAAAAAAAAAAAAATACAAAGGATTGATGAAACAAAGAGTTGGTTCTTTAAAAAGATAAACAAGAAAAATAAGCCCTTAGCCAAACTATTACCAGACTTCTCAGAAATCCAGCTCATTGGGGACTAATTTTGAAAACTGCCAAAACTGAATCAAAGAACTTAGAAACTTAAACAAACCAATAATGTGGAAGGCTTTTTAATACTGCTTGAATATCATTACAACAAAGAAAAGCCCAGGACCATATGGATTCTAGCTGAATTCTACCAAATCTTTAAAGAAGAACTAATGCCAATACTCCTCAGATTATTTCATGAAATAGAAAGGAATAATGGGACACTTCCAAATTATTTCTACAAAGCCAGTATCATACTCATACCAAAACCAGATAAGGATTCAACAAGTAAAGAAAACTATAGACCAATATCCCTAATGAACCTACTTGCAAAAATGCATAATGAAATATTAGCAAATCATGCTCAACAACATATTAAGATTATACACCATGACCAAGTTGGTTTCATTCCAGGGATGAATGAATCGTTTAATATATGCAAATCAATAAATGTAATTCATCACATAAACAAGGACACTTAGTAATCTTGATAGATGCAGAAAAGGCCTTCAACAAAATTCAGCACCCATTCATGATAAAAACACTGAAGAAACTAAGGATAGAGGGAACTTGCCTCAACATCTTAAAGTCTCTTTATGAACAACCCAAAGCCCACCTCATAGTATATGAAGAAAAACTGAAGGCATTTCCTTTAAAATCTTGGACAAGACAAGGATGTCTATTCTTAACACTTCTATTTAATATAGTGCTAAAAATTCTAGCCAGAGTGATTAGGCAAGAGAAGAAAATAATAGGGGTAAGATAGGAAAGGAAGAAGTCAAATTATCACTGTTTACAGATACTATCCTATACCTAGAAGATAAAAAAATACTCCATCAAAAGACTGCTAGAGTTAACAAACAAATTTGGAAAAGTAGCAGGTTACAAAATCAATAT